TGCTGGCTCTGTTCATGAACTGGCTGAGCAATGAGGAGCTGGCTCACACCTGAGTAATATATTTGCTTGAGGACAGAGAGAAGCTACTGCTGTGTTGCTGCTCCAGCTTAGATGAGCTGCAGCATATGAGAAGGGCATATTTTGCCTCTAAGAGGAGCACGGAGTTCTAAGCAAGAGGAAGGGCCAAATTTGAAATAGCCCAGGAACGCCATAGACTGCTGAATTGTGGCATTAAAATTGCCAGTGGTCACCTCAACTCCTGGCAGCTCCAACTGCATGAAGCTGATTTGAGACAGAGAAGTTGTTTACACACCTAGGAGGTACAGACTGTTGACAGTATTTTCAAAAAGAAGTTTAGGTATTCAAATTCTAGTATTTCTGATGCATTCAAATAAGCCTTTTCATTTCCGGACATCCAAGGATGAAGGAGAAATTGAGTGATGGGGGAGAATGGCCTATTTTAGTGTGGAAGTTGGGACTGGCTCAGTGTCCTTTCTCTGCTGTGAATGGTTGTCTGTGCTTGACACACAAATCTGCAACCTATAATAAAAGGATTGTCATCATAGCTACTTGGTTGCACTCAAAGTTCCTTCTGCTGAACTCATGAGCAATATAAAACTAGCATGAACCTCCTTGGGGTTGGACTAGATGATCTTTATAGGTCCCCTCCAACTCAAACCGTTCTATGCTTGGCCATCAGTCCTGTGGAAGATAGCACCATCTCACAGCAATGTGGACTGTGGTTAGCCTTAAAACCTGAGTAACTTGATTTGGTTTGATTTCTCACTTGGGCTGTGTTATCAGCTTTGTTTGTTGAAGGAAAGGACACAAATGGAGAAGGCAGATGAAGCTTGACGTGACTTTTTTTGATTATATACTCTCTAAATCTTTGTGGTAACTTTCCTGGTCTGCAGGTTAGTCTTCAGGCCATGTATAAGCATATGTCTAATGTGTTATATGCTCAATGAGGAAAGAAAAGAACCTCTCAGCTTGCACACAGCAGCTCCTTATGCTTCATAAAAGCAGGGTGACCCTGAAGCCTGAAATAAAATTATTAAACATTTGCTTCACACTATTTAAAATGGCTGTAGCTCATGTGATGAGTACATGTGGATTAATAAGCTGCACAAACTTATTTTGTTGGTGTTTGTTCCATGTGATTCTGTCTTCCTTTGTAACTCATTGTATTCATACAAGGATTTTTTGTGTAACCTATGGAAAAAATGACATCGTTTTTCCAGTGCACTTCTGGCATGCGTGTGTAAAGTAGTGCCATATAAACAGCCCGAAAAGGCATCTTCTGAGCCCTGGAACAGTCACAGACTTGATTTTGGCACAGATTTCTTACGCTGCCCTGCTAGCTTATCTCTGTTTTAACCTTGGAAAAGTGGCCTTTGGAGGCAAGCAGTCAAGATGTGCAGTTGCTGGAGACTTCTCCAGGGCTGTGTCTGCTTGAGAGTTTATCATAGCAAAGCATGTATTTTTTGAAGAGTTACTTCAACTGATGCTTTGAGGGTAGCAGGGCTGAGGCTCTTCCCTCTCCAGCTCATCGTCCTCCTTCATAATTAAATGGAAGAGTAACAGGTCAAAAGATGGAAATAGCATGCTGACAGTGTTTAAAACAAACAAACAAAAAACCACACAACAACAACAACAAACAAAAACAAACAAAAAAACCAACCCAACAAGAAAACCCAACAAAAAACCCCAAACAACAACTTCCCCTCCAAAAAACCCAAGCAACACCCTCTTCAAAAACAAATAAACAACAACAAAAAAAAACAAACAAACAAAAACCTGAAAAACCCCAACCAAGCAAAATTAAAAAATCTGACTTTTATTCTGTTCACACAGGTAAGTAGACTCTGTGTGTGTATCTCTCTCATTTATTCTTTTTTTTTTTTCCCTTCACCAGGCATTTACCAGAAAAAGTCAAAGACGACGTTCAGCTGAAGAACATGAGCGGGCAGTGGTTTTACGAAGCAAAGTCAAAGAGGCACAGAGATAAGATACATGGAACAGATATTATTAGAGCTTCCATGCGACGGAAGCCTGCCACTCTTGGTAAGCATTTAGCTTGTATTTTATTTTGGAAAGGCTGGCTCTTACTTAACTAACTTTAAACACTGTTGTCCGAAATACAAGAATAATATTGGTATCTCTACAAGCAGAAAATGATGCAAAAGAGAGATTTCCCACGTAGTTTACAGTGTAAGTTTTTGTCTCCCCCAATGCTAAGTATTAAAGGGAGAATTCTGTGTGAGGACTAGTAACAAGAGGGACTGGCTTGTGTTTATGTGTAGGACTGAAAGCCCTCTGCACTCCCGGACCGCATTCTCATCTCCGTTTTTGAGGCCCTGTAAGCTACCCTGGGACGTGCAAAGAATCAGAGATTGAGGAAATTGCTCTTTAGTATGGATTTCCAGGATTTTTGGGTGCTCAGTTTGAGACCTCTGAGGCTAAGTGGTAGGCACCATGAGCTCGATTTAGTGGTCATAACTTCTGAAATACGTGTGCTGGGAGCTCTGGCAGCCAGAACTGGCACCCTGTGTCCACATAAACTTTATCTGCACCCACCACCCCCCACATCATGGTGGGTGCCTTCAAATGATCAGTTAGAAGGTTTGTTAAAGCCAACTGTGTTAATGTGCCAGGTAGCAGTTGCAGACATTAATTTAGTAGTACAGATAGGTAGTAGTATATTGTGTGTAAATTGAGTAATGTTAACAAGCTTGGGCTTGCTTGATAGTAAATATTATATTCTGAAACTCTTATTTAAAAAAAAATCAGAATGTGGGAAGATCATGTGTTGTGTTTTAACATTGGAAGTAAATAGTGTTTTGTTTGGAGAGAAACAAAACAAAAGAGAACATAAAAGCTGCTCGGCTGGACCAGACCAAAAGCTGGTCTCCCCAGCACCTTGCCTGGCAGCAAGTGTAGGATCCAAGGTCAGGACCAGCCTGCAGCCAGTTGCACCTCAGACTTTTTTTAAATAGAGGAGCTATTTCTGGATTATTTTTACCGTGTTAATTTGTTCAAGAAGTTCTTTAAAGCCATGCCTCTTTAACATTCACCATGTCCTGTCTTGAGGCATTTTAAAATGAAGGTTTTCCACGTAAGAAGTGACTATTTCCTTTTCTGTTTTTGAAATGACCACCATTACCATTATCCCTGGGAGAGAAAGAGAACAGTCCATCTATATTCACAAAAACATATATAACATACAGGATTTTATAGACTTCTGCTATAAATCTCTCAGCATCTGACTTTGTAATCTAAGAGTTCTGGTTTATTTTGTCATTCTTTGTACAGAAAGTGTTGTTTTTCTTAGAGAAACTGACAACCATCCCCTCTTAACCTACTCTAGTTCTACTAAATCCTTTGGCTTAGAAGGGCAAGACTCTTACTGTTCTCACCAGATTGCACTGAAATTTGCAATCTTTATTTTTTTGAAGTTCTATTAAGGGGTAGTGTGCTAGTGAAGGAAGTAAGGTACTTCTGTCAACAGTGTGGATGGACTATAGCTTGCTACTTTCTACAGGTTTTGTAGCTACAATTTAACCTTGTTTTCCTATGTCTAATCCTACAATGTTATAACTTCTCAGTTCCTGTATTCCCGGAGATGGGTTTGGATCATGGCAGTTTAGTCAGTCTGAGGTTACTGCGTGATGGTTTGGGGTTTTTAAGTTAAAAGAAAAGGCCTGAAATAGAAAAGAATGCTAAAAATCACAGGTATGTTTGTGGGTTTGGCTGTTTTTGGACTTGAAGGTTATGAAAATGAGCTGTAAAATTCTAGCTAAATTTTACAGTAACTTATAGCTTAAAAGAAAATACTTAAAGCTATGTTATCTTAGAGGAAGGTTAATTACCCCTAATTAAGGGACACACTGCTACATTCAGAACTATGTGCAATCACTTGGTTTCAATGACTGATGTCAAGATATTTGTGCTTGCAGTTACGGATAGCAAAAGCGAGAATAAAAATCTTGCTTATTTTTTCACACTAAAGTTCTTCATTTCTAAACTGTTGGAGAAGTGCAAAAAGCAGTAAAGGAAATAATGTGAGCTAATGTGTTGACTCTGAAAGGGGTTATTAGAATAAGTTTCTGTCCCACCCCAAAAAGAAATGCAAATGTATTTGCATTCGCTGACTGAGGTGGGGCTTTTTGTTTGGCTTGTTTTTTTTTTTATATTTACTTTCTTAAATTCTTGTGGTAATTCTATCCATAAAGGCTTATCCACCTGCTTAAATGAGAGTTATGACCAACTTCCAGTTTACTGCTGTAGGAAGGGAATAATGGACTTGATTAACTGAACTTAACTTAACTTGATAACTTGAGGATATGGTTTAATGGGGATTAGGGATGGTTGGACTCGATGATCTCTAAGGTCTTTTCCAACCTAGAAATCTATGAAATCTATGAAACTTCTGCATGTTTTCAGTTTCCTGTGGTTTAATTGTTTTTGTTTCCTCAGGACACTGAGGTTGAATTTTCGATGTTTATCTAGCTGCAAGAACTACAGGATCAGTCTTTACCAGGGTTGTTGTAGAAAACTTCTCCATTTAGGATCACTTTAAGGTCTAAAGCAAATGTACCTTAAGTAGTAGAGTGAAGTATTCAGGGCAGTATGTGACATTTCTAGTAGCATTACAAAAAAAATATTCTTCAGAAGGTACCAGATATACTTCTGGTAGATTCAAGAACAGTGGGCTTTCCAAATAACTATAGGACTGAATGCAAGTACTTGTATTTCGCTCCTTAAGAAATCCTGTATGAACATATGGGAGACAACAATATTCTCATTTCATGTTTTAGCTGAAGTGAGTCATAACAAATCAAACAAAGCAAAGAACAGCTGGGTGAGCAATGTTAATAAAGAAGCCTTTGTGCCACCAGAACTACATGGCATTGTGGAACATCAAGAAGAAGAAGAAGAACTGAAGTCTAGTCCGAGGTAAACTGCCTGTTTAATCTCACTTAGCATGTATATATCAGAGCTGGTGAAATTTGTGAGCTGTAAGTTCCATCCAAAATATTGTACTTGCCTCTTATTTCAGAGGTCATCAAATGTTCCCTCAGAATCATCCAAGGAATCCATGCATGCGATAGGGTGACAAATCATAATCACGCGTTGTTAATTGTTCTGCGTTCAATGTAGAACAATCTTTGGCTTACCTCGACAAGGAAAAAGTTGCCAATGATGTATAGAATGGTCCCACACATGTTCTCATGTCACAATTTAGTCTGGCTGTGAGAAGTGAGACCAGTATTTTCTGGTTAGAACCACTGGCAGTTACTAATATGGAGACAATAATCTCTGCATCTTTTCATTCAGTCACTCAATGAGATCAGACTATTGATTCAGCCTGAATTTTAAACTTGGATTATAGGAAGAATCAGAGATTGAGAAATTGATTTTTAGAATTTTCCAGATTTTTCGGTGCACAGTTTGATGTCTGAGACACCTTTTTTTTTTTTTTTTAAAAAAAGACCAAATGTATTTGAGGTGGAAAGAACCAGAGTCTTTGGGTACTTATGGAAAAGAAATATGATTCTACCAAGAAAAATAAATGTCTTTTTGGAAGAGAGAGGCTTCCATTCAGAGCAGGGCAAGATGATCAGCTTGGATATGCCTGAATGGCTATTGTTGTTGCATGAAAGCTGGATAAGAAATAGTTTCTGAACTGTGGAGGATTTTATATTCAATAATTCTACCTCAAGTCTGTAAACATCCGAAACAGCTCCACTTCACTCTGAAATATCTCGAATTTATTTCTGACAGAGAAATCTTATCTTTAAAACACCTACATGTAGTAATTTGTTGGCTGAGTGAAGAGCTTTCAAAAAAAACTGCATTTGAAGAGGAAAGTGCTGATCTCCTAGCTAAGGTGACAACAGGTGGAAATGAGTTGTCTTTAAATAGCCAGATTCCTCAACATCGTTGAGGAAACAAGAACCAGAGTGTAACACAGATGGCTATTGTTTGTGCTATCAGGGAACAGGGTGAGGTACGAGCCAGAGTTACTCCTTAGGTTCACTGTTTTACTTCTGGTTGTGTCACTGATCAGCTCTGTAACGTTTCATTTTCTTGTCTGTCTTTTAAGTCCTTCTCTATCTGTCACCTGTGTTTTCTTTGCAGCAGGGCTTGTCTCTTTCTATGCATTTCCATCTTAAACTTTTGTGGTCTGCAAACTGGGCATGCACGCACGCTCACGATGAATGGCACCAAAGGTTGGTGTAAGTCTTAACGTTAATGGTCGTTATTATCCTTTATGTATCGTTATCAATGAACTCAGAGGGCTATCTGCATGTGAAATTGTGCTGGAAAAGCTCAAATAAACTGCATTGTTACAGACTTCCTGAAAAATGAAGTTGCGCAATAAGGAGGATAAAGGTTGCTTACAATAAGAAAGAGCTTATCTTCCCTCCCCTCCTGCCACTAGTTGGCTGATAATGGTGACAGAGTTAGTTGTTACTGAAAGTAGTCTTTTTACAGGTGGCTTTTGCCTTCAGGAGGTTGTTATGGAGTTATTTCTTTATGGGTAGCACAAGACATGCTGATGTTTAACATATCTCTTAAAATATTTCACATGTCATCTTGCGCATCAGGAAAAGATGATGATACATTAGAAGAAGCACAGCCTTATAATGTCATTCTCACCATAACAACTCCACAAACCGTGTGTGGTTGCTGGAGTAATACATTTCATAAACTGCCAGGGCAGCCTCTTCAAAAATATGTAACGTAACAATGTTTAAGAACATGTAGACAGTGTGTTTGGAATATGACTGACCTGATTGTGGTCTTTAACTTGAGGTGATTTGGTGACTTATTTCAGGTCATACCCATGCGAAGCTTCATGATTATTGTCCAGGACCTTCTCCTGGCCTTTACTCCAAAATGTGCCAGAAATTAATCAGTCTATATGCCTTGTTCATGTGTGCTTACATTCTCTCTGATAGTTCAAGATCTTCCTGTTAAAGCAAGCTCACACAGACTAGGATTTATAAGACACTTGGATTCTATAATATGTGGGCTGGACACTGACTTGCATTTGCTTTACATAAATATTGGTTAGATGTCTCAGATGATTGGCTTCTAAAATGTGAAAAGCTGAAGCAAGTGAACGTGGCGGGACTATGTGCAATTCATTGCTTACGATTTCAGAATGGGCTTATTAATGGGCCACAATGATGATCCAGTGACTGGAGCACCTCTGCTACGAGGACAGGTTGTGGGAGCTGGGATTGTTCAGCCTTGAAAAGAGAAGACTTCAGGGGGGACCTAATAGCTGCCTTCCAAAACCTGAAGGGAACCTACAGGAAGGCTGGGGAGGGACTTTTTACAAGAGTGTTCACTGATAGGACAAGGGGAGATGGGTTTAAGTTGAAGGAGAAAAGATTTAGATTAGATTTTAGGAAGAAATTCTTCAGTACGAGGGTGATAAGACTTTGGAATAAATTTCCCAGAGAGGTTGTGGATGCCCCCTCCCTGGAGGTGTTCAAGGCCAGGTTGGACAGAGCCTTGAGTAGCCTGATCTAGTTGAGAGGCGTCCCTGCCCATGACAGGGAGGTTGGATTAGATGATCTCTAAGGTCCCTTCCAGCCTATGCCATTCTATGATTATTTCACTATGCCTGAAATGAATACACACCACATTGCATGTGGGAAATCACAGGAGGCGCCATATCATGGAATCATAGAATGGTTTGGGTTGGAATGGACCTTAAAGATCATCTAGTTCCAACCCCCTGACAGGTTGCTCAAAGCCTCATCCAACCTGACCTTGAACACTTCCAGGGATGGGGCATCCACAACTTCTCTGGGCAACCTGTTCCACTGCCTCACCACCCTCTGAGTGAAAAATTTCTTCCTTAGATCTAATCTAAATCTGCCCTCTTTCAGTTTAAAGCCATTGTCCCTGGTCTTATCACTATATACCCTTGCAAAAAGTCCCTCTTAAGCTTTCCTGTATGTTATTAAAATACTCCTCTTTTCTGTTCTCTTGACACTGGACTTTGAAAGAAACTTGTCTGACATGTCTGTGGGCCTGTCTGTAGTGGCAGAAACTGATCAGGAATTCAGAGGAAACAATGCTGGGAAAACAATAACCCTACCAGTTGGGGTTGGAAGGGAAAGCCTAGACACTACAAACATTTAATTTGGTTGATAGGGTAGCAGAGCCGCAAGGAATTAATTTCTGATGACTCTTTGTGCTGCAGTGCAATAGTCTGGACAAATAGGAGGATGAAGCAGAGTATTGTTCTGGAGCTTGGGACGGCGAAAAGCGAGTTAACAGCTTCTAGTGCCCAAATGCTGTCAATGTGCGCTGGCAGCCCAGAAAGCCAACCGTGTCCTGGGCTGTATCAAAAGAAGCGTGGCCAGCAGGTCGAGGGAGGTCATTCTGCCCCTCTACTCTGCTCTTGTGAGACCCCACCTGGAATACTGCGTTCAGCTCTGGAGTCCCCAACACAAGAAGGACATGGCGCTGCTGGAGCGAGTCCAGAGAAGGGCCACAAAGATGATCTGAGGGCTGGAGCACCTCTGCTATTGAGACAGGCTGAGAGAGTTTGGGCTGTTCAGCCTGGAGAAGAGAAGACTCTGGAGTGACCTTCTAGCAGTCTTCCAGTGCCTAAAGGGGACCTAGAAGAAAGGTCGAGAGGGACTTTTTACAAGGGCGTGTAGTGATAGGACAAGGGGCAATGGCTTTAAACTGAAAGAGGGGAGATTTCAATTAGATCCAAGGAAGAAATTTTTTTACATTGAGGGTGGTGAAATATTGAAACAGGTTGCCCAGAGAAGTTGTGGCTGCCCCGTCCCTGGAGGTGTTCAAGGCCAGGTTGATGAGGCTTTGGGCAACCTGGTGTAGTGGAGGGTGTCCCTGCCCACGGCAGGGGGTTGGAACTAGATGATCTTTGATGTCCCTTCCAACCCTAACCATTCCATGATTCTATGCTACATGTGGTTTAGGCGCTTGGAACATTTAAAAGTGGTACTTTAAGAATAGGTTTGTGGGAGCTTTGGGGTTTAGATTTTTTTACCACCTTTTTTATCACCTTCTTCCTCTAAGAGTAGGCTTCAGTCCAGCACTGGCTTGTAGGCTTTGCATAAACTGAACAACTGCTAACCTGAGGACTGGGGCCAGAAGATATGTGGTTAACAAATTACTTGCAACTTTTTTGTTCTGAATTCTATTCTTGAACCAAAACAACTCTTACTGAATGTGAAGAAAGTTCTGTTCTGGTAGATCTCAAAGAGTTGTGGTCAACGATTCAATGTCCAAGTGGAGGCCAGTGACGAGTGGTGTTCCTCAGGGGTCAGTACAGGGACCAGTGCTATTTAACATCTTTGTTGGTGACATGGACGGTGGGATCGAGTGCACTCTTAGCAAGTTTGTTGATGACCAGCTGTGTGGTGTTGTGAACATGCTGGAGGGAAGGGATGCCATCCAGAGGGACCTTGACAGGCTGGAGAGGTGGGCCTGTGAGAACCTCATGAAGTTCAACAAGGCCAAGTGCAAGGTCCTGCACGTGGGTCGGGGCAATCCCAAGCACAAGTCCAGGCTGGGCAGAGAATGGATTGAGAGCAGCCCTGAGGAAAAGGACTTGGGAGAGTTGGTGGATGAGAAGCTCAACTGGAGCTGGCAATGTGCGCTGGCAGCCCAGAAAGCCAACCGTGTCCTGGGCTGCATCAAAAGAAGTGTGGCCAGCAGGTCGAGGGAGGTGATTCTGCCCCTCTACTCTGCTCTCGTGAGACCCCACCTGGAATACTGCGTTCAGCTCTGGAGTCCCCAGCACAAGAAGGACATGGAGGTGCTGGAGCAGGTCCAGAGGAGGGCCACGAAGATGATCCGAGGGCTGGAGCACCTCTGCTATGAAGCCAGGCTGAGAGAGTTGGGGCTGGTCAGCCTGGAGAAGAGAAGGCTCTGGGGGGATCTTATAGCAGCCTTCCAGTACCTAAAGGGGCCTACAGGAAAGCTGGAGAGGGACTTTTTACAAGGGCGTGTAGTGATAGGACAAGGGGCAATGGATTTAAACTGAAAGAGGGCAGATTTAGATTGGATATAAGGAAGAAATTTTTCACTCAGAGGGTGGTGAGGCAGTGGAACAGGTTGCCCAGAGAAGTTGTAGATGCCCCATCCCTGGAAGTGTTCAAGGCCAGGCTGGATGAGGCTTTGGGCAACCTGGTGTAGTGGAGGGTTTCCCTGCCCATGGCAGGGGGGTTGGAACTAGATGATTTTTGAGGTCCCTTTCAACCAAAACCATTCTATGATTCTGTGATCTGTTTGCAAACTGCTGAGGGTCAAATGCAGCCCTGGGGCTGGTTCAACTGCTGTTGAGTCAGGGTGCAACTATATCCTTAAAATTAGCATAGTGATGTTTGTCCCCACACCCCAAATATTCCATTCAGCAAAGAAGCTACGAAACATTTTTTTCTTGGGTGTTATATCACGAGATACTTTTCTGGCATACCGTAGCCTTTACAGGCCAGGTGTGTCAGGTGTCTTTGAAGGTGTGACTTTGCACAGAACCAGTTTTCACAGAGTGACTCAGACTGTCAATATTACCTCTGCTCAGTGATAGCATCTGTCTATGTACTGGATCTCAAAAGAGGGCAATGTTAAAGGGCTTTCTCTTTCAAATTAATATTTGTAGGCTTTTGTCTTCACTAGGCTAGGAAATATCCTTAGCCTACATTGAACAGGTGACAAGTGTGGGTCCTAGAGTTCTGCAAGGTGAAAATTTGCACAAAAGCCCCAGTTCTTATAATCCATGTAACTTTTCTGGAATAATAGGGGTGCTGGGATATCTAGATAAGGACATTTTTGTTGAGTACAGGTAAATCATAATAGCTTTACTCACACCAGATTCTCTATCCTTTAGGATGAGCCCAGGAAAGCTTATTTGTTTGAATATTTCTGGGTAGACCATATTGACAATGCCTGCAAATCTAAAACCCCTTTCTCCAGTGCTGCTCCTGCCTCCACCTTGTTGCCCCTTGATTCCTGTCCAGTGCCGTCCAGTCTGTGTGGAGTTTGGGCCTTCATTGTGGTTCTTGGCACTTTGCTTTGCTGAATTCCAGTGCAGGATTTTTTTAAGCTGGATGCATTAATCAGTTTGGCTTCATACCTTCTCTTAGATTAGCGTTGTGAATGCAGCAAATCTGGGAACTCTTTGTTCCGTTTGCCTATCTGTATGGCTTGAGGGTAAACTCATATTTTCAGATCTTTTGTTGTGAAACTTAGTTGTAGGATCCTGGGTGTGGGTTTTTTTTTCCCCTCTACCTTATGTTTTCTTTAGAGCAGGATTTTCAGTATGTAATGCCAAATTAACGTTAATTATTCTATATTAAGTCTGAAATAGCATTGCATTAAAATATTGTGGAATTGTATGCGTGTATGTTGAATGAGACCTAAAAATTTACCTCCCCCGTCTATAAAAACTGCAAACAGAAGAATGTCTTATCAGTTTTCTTGCTACCCAGGGTATGTAACAGTATTTTCCTTGTTTGAAATGAGGGAAGGGTTGAAGCATTCATGACCTAGACCTTTAAAAAAAAAAAAAAATTAAGAAAATCATGTTTGTCCTGTTGGATAGTAGATGGTGTAGATGAGACACAAAGTGAAGGAGCACACGGGTGCTCATAGAATCATAGAATGGTTAGGGCTGGAAGGGACCTTCAAAGGTCATCTAGTCCAACCCCCCTGCAAGGAACAGGGATATCTCCAACTAGATCAGGTTGCTCAGGGCCTCGTCCAACCTGGCCTTGAACGTCTCATAAAAACAAAAAGGCAAACTCAGGTGCTTACAAAAGCAAGAACATGAACTCCAGTTCAGCAGAATGAAGATTCTTTAAATATATCTATTTTCAAATTTATTTTATTTTTTTAAGTATTAGAACTAAGGTTACAAACTGTAATGTGGAATGATATTTTTTAAAACAAATTTAAAGTTGCAATATTGAGCTCTTTGAGAACTAGAATTTTTTTTTTCTTATTAGGATCAGTGTAGGGTGAAAAGAACAATAATAATGTTATACCAGGTGTGTGCATACAAGAGGCTGCTGCTGCAGTCAGTGATGAAATATAAGAACAGTTTATTTTTTTCACCCATGAGAAAAAAATGTTTCCATTACAAGATCAGCACGTACCTTAAGTTTGTATCACTATGCATGATGGTGTTTCTTAACGGCAGTGTTGAACCAAAAGAGCAAGGAGGAGATACAGGATTTTATAGCTCACACTACAACTGGAATATTTTTCCAAGCCTTATGTTCAGGCTGCTCATTACTGTGTCGTCTTATCTTCTCTGTAATGATGTTTTTCCATTTCTAAAATGGGAGAAATGTCACTTCTCAGACACACTTAGCAGTCCAGAGGCCAGTAGCCTTTCAAGGGTGGCTGCCAGACTTTTTTTTTTTCTAAACTTTTGAGTTTAACTATACGGAAACCTGGAGAAGATGGGAAAGTTTTCTCTCTTCAGCAAGGCAGTGTTTTGTCAGCTACCTCAGAGAGATCTTTTTGAGGAGGCAGCTCCTGTTTGAATCTGGACCTTGATGAAAGCTGTGGGCTGTTTTCTTGTCCTAAGATACCACATCTGCCCTCAAAAACATTGTCTTGTGGATCTACTACTTGCCAGTCACTATCTGAAAGTCTTTTCACCCATACCAAAGATCACTGACCAAAGAAATACTCAGTATCACAATCTCCTTATACATCTATATTGCAAGAAACTGCAGGAGTTGCTTTTCTTCCTAGCCTGAGGTCATGTTTCATACCTGGACAATGTACAATTTTTCCTGCCTTGTACTGTTTCCCCCACCCCCAAAATCATAAGCATGTAAGTTAGTTAATGCCAGCATTTTCTATATAAAGTTAAGGTGCTGTATGTGGTTGTTACATGAATTGTAGAATGGTTTGGGTTGGAAGCGACCTTAAAGATCATCTGGTTCCAATGCCCTGCCATGGACAGGGACACCCTCCACTACATCAGGTTGCCCAAAGCCTCATCCAACCTGGCCTTGAACACTTCCAGGGATAGGGGATCCACAACCTCTCTGGGCAACCTGTTCCAGTGCCTCACCGTCCTCAGAATGAAGAATGTCTTCCTCAGATCTAATTGAAATCTCCCCTCTTTCAGTTTAAAGCCATTGCCTCTTGTCCTGTCTCTACATGCCCTTGTAAAAAGACCTGGAAGTGCTTTCCTGTAGGCCCCCTTTAAGTACTGGAAGGCTGCTAGAAATTCTCCCTGGAGCCTTCTCTTCTCCAGGCTGACCAGCCCTAACTCTCTCAGCCCATATTTAAATCCAGATCTAACTTTCATCTTCAAAAATCAATACTTCTTTTAGTATCTGAGATGTTTAGATAATCAGATTTTTATAATTTGAGTTTGTTTTGGAAAAAAAACCCTTGCATCATTCTGCAGATAGATGAAGTATTTCTTGATATAATGTAGAAGCTGTCGCTTCTGGCTGTTCTAATTTCTCCTTACTTGGGTTATGCTTAGTCAGGATCCCAAGTAAAGTTTTACTCCACTTGTACTATCAAAGTACAGATTTTTATAGATCTTAATTCAAAGAATAACTTATAAGCTGTACCTCTGAGGGGATGTGGTGTTGTCTGTGACATATTACATCTTTGCTATAGTGGTGATGGGATTCCTCTGATTTTTCTGACTTGGACACTTTGCAAAAATCTTTTTTTTTTTAAATCAGATTTTGGCACGTTCCTCCACTTCGATTTCAGTCCTAGAAGTATAAATGTAGGACAAGGGTGGAGACAGCAACACTGATTGTTTGGAGAGTAGCTATATTTACATAAAACTTGCTCAAAAATCTAAAAGACATCAAAAATATGTTTTCTGTCATGCCAAGTAGAAGTTGCATTGAATTCTCTGACAAGCAAGGAAATTTTTGCAAGGAAACAAAGCAGCAGGACTATGCCCTTCCTATGGAAAGGAGAGTGTTTGCTTCTAAATCTGAGCAGAACAGTCTAAATGGAAAACTTTAGGTGCCAGGAAGTTATATTCGAGTATGTGTTAACGAATCTCTGTTTTGCTTTTTGAAAAAGGCTTAAAGTAGCGTCCTGTTTGCTGAAGTTGTTGTGTGCTTTTTCTTTGCAGTTCTAAACCAATAACCTCTTTGTTAGACAAACCAGAGCAAAAGCCTATGAAGGCAGCAATCTCACCAGTGAAGGTATGGTTGGTATTGAATATAGCAGAAGTTATCCTCTACATTTTGTGTGTTTCTTTGCTTCAGTGCTAAATATAATTAAAGATCTGAGGAAGAAAGATAATAAGTTGGAAAAAAGTTTTTTTTTTTTCTTTGAAGGGAAATGATGGAAACCACTAAAAGTTCAGTGCTGAAGTGCTGTTACAGCTGTAATCAGTCCCTGTCTGTGCTTGACATTGTTTCTAGTCTCTTCAGCCACTGAAAAGAATTGTCTTGCTCTGTTCCAGTGTCTCTAAAGGCACAGAAGTAAAGGTAAAATTATTTGACCTGCAACAACTTGGGGTTTTCAAGTGTCTTTTAAGTGGTGGCTTATCCCTGGTCTTGGTGACTGCAAAAAGAACAGGACGAGGCTGTCAGCAGTACTTCTGATAGTTCCCTGGTTCGTATCGTTTAGGGTTTTTGTCATGAATCCAATTGTAGAGGCACGCTTTCGGATTCTTTGCTGACAGGGTAGTGAGGCAGAGGAAGTCACTGCACTTTCATTTATTTTGTCAAGACTGTACTGATACAACAATTTGACTGCAATTATATTGTTAATTCCTTTTTAAGGAAAGGAGAAATCCATTTAATTCCACTGCATCAGGTGATAACTTGAACAGTGGGGAAGCAGAAAACAGACCAGCCATTCTACCTCAGCTATCAAATAAGGGTAAATATACTTATTTAGCATATGATTGTGAATTTCTTTGTGGTTTCTATGGAAATAATTTTTACTTTCATTGCTTTTTTCTGTAAGACATCAAAACCTGTTTTATCTTAACTACTTGGAGTTATCAACTAGTTTGTTTCAAACCCCATGTAAAACACATGAATATACTCAGGAAATGGCTGTGTACAAGACTGAGGGGATTTTGCTTCCTTTCTTTTACTCACAGTTCTAGTCAGCTTTAAGCACTCCAAGAGGGCTGTTTGCCTTGAATTGCTCTTAAGAGAACAGAGAAATTTCCTCAAATTTAGTATAGCTGTCTTTATGACCGTCCAGTCATTGCTGCTATTGGCTCAACAGAAGAAGCCTAACTCTTTTGATCTTTATTTTTTCCCTTTGTTTTCTCAGCCCTGCTTAGTTTTGAATCCTCCCTTTCCTGCAGTATAAGAAAAAACTGCAGGATTTTCACCTGTTAAAACTCTGTTACATACAAATGAAATCAACACCTATGTTGAATTTTGTCCTGTGTTTTACTTCAGGTGTTTTTAATAAACCAATGCAATCACTGCATTCTAGATCTGCATTGTGTCACACCCCTCTGTTTATGCAGGTGAGCAAATCAGGAGTTTACATGATGTTCTATCAACTATGTTTTTTTAAATTTTGTCACCCTCGAAAGAGAGCCAACCTAAACAAAACTTAGTAAATGATGAAACGGAGAAACATAAGAAGCCTTCTGTAGAACCCACTGATGAATCACAGAAAGGACTAGTTAAGCGTCCTGTCCCAAGAGCTAGAAAATTAATTCACAAAGCAACAGATCCTGTGTCACAAAGAGAAGACTTTGTTCCAAAACCAGCCAAGCAGACCGAGAGGATGAATGGCGTTGGTACACCACCCAGGGGCATTCTGAAGCGCAGTTCAAGTTCAAGTTCCACTGACTCAGAAGTTCGTGTTAGTCAGATGTTAGATGTTCAGAAGAAGAATGGTCTTCCTACCGCAACTATTTTCGAAAGGGAAGCTGAGAAGAACTCTCTTACAGAAGAAGTGGAAGACTCCACACAAATTTCACTGGAAAAACTAAAGCAAGTGAGGTTCTCACCTAGCACAGGTAAAGGAGAACCTCTGCAAAGCTCACAGCTACACCATAGTAGAGAAGAAGGAGAGTTTGGTTTGTTAGAATCTGATGAAATAAAGAGTAGTGGAAATGATACTGTTAGATCAGATTCACTTGGGAATAAGCAAATTTCTGCTGTAAAGCCTTTGGGAACCTCTTCTTCAGCTTTACAAGGAAAAACAGTAGATGGCTTACAGAATGATACATTAGCATCTGGTCCTCGTGGCACTAACAGATCAGTCTTCCTGGTTAATGAAACCTTGCAGACAAAGCCAGTTGCTCCTAAGAAACTTGAAACTCCACAGAAGACCCTCAGCAATATCCCGCCAAATAGCAATAATGAACTGAGTGTTGATGAGACACGTGAAAATAAAGCCAACCGGTTCTTGAGCCATGAATCCAAGTCACACAAAAACTTTACTGGTAAGAGACTAGCAGGAGTGAAGAACATAACGCAATAGCACATAGCATGTATTCATTAGTGTTCAAATCACTTGTATCTGAGAGATAACAGCTAGGAAACAGAAACAGTAGTCGTGCTACATACTGCAGAGTTAAAATCTAAGCCACTTTTTTGAATTTTAGTGCTCTAATGTAGTTGATATTTTTTAGGTGATCTTCTATTGGTATTCTTCAGAAATTTACAATCAGATCAGAGCCTGGATAGGCACCTTTATTGTGGATGATGAAGGTGAAGTGATGGTATTTGGATAAAATTCCTGTCATAAGGCCTGGTAGATCAAGCTGCATGGGAGCTGAAGAATTTTTGGGGTACTGCTGTTGACTGTCCTTGGTAGTAATCCATGGGATTACTCATGGGACTAAACACAAATATGCTGTGTTGTCCTCCTCCTGGTCTCCCTTTCAATGTAGCCATTTCCTTTAGAATGGGGATAACCAACCTTATCTGCTTGCACCCCCAAAAGTAATATGACTAAACTTCCAGAATGTTATCTCAGTGCAGGAATTATTTGTCACAGTATTGCCCACAGTATGTTCCAAAAACACAAGGACAGAGAACTCTTTTCTCCGCTAACAGTTAAAAAAATTAAAAACAAGCAAAAAACAAACAAAAAACCAAGAAATTTTTCAAGACAAATCAAACATTTGTAGAGCTGTGTGTCTGATTTCTACCTCTGATAAGTTTGTTTACATTGTAGATGAACGTCAGCTTTCTGCTGAGACAGAAGCCCATGAGGTGTCAAATACCAATTCTACAAGTCTTCAACAAGGTAAGCCTGATCTTGTTGAGGAGCAAGATGCTAAAACCACTTCCAAGCCTGACAAACATGCTGATGAACTCATGAAAGTGACCGATGAATCTGTATCAAAAGTTTTAGATTGGTTTAAAAGAAGTTCTGGTACTGAAGATGAGAAACATGTATCAGCTAGATCCCTTGGCAGGGAACCCGAAGAGAAAGTGAACTTCTCAACCAGAACAGCAGTTCTTCCTGCAGAACACAGTGGGCCTAGCATGGATGGGAAAACAGAACTTAAAGAAGGGTTCCCATTTGGAACGATTAAACGACAGAACAGTATTGCATCTGCATCATTTATTTCACAAGATATACAACTGATAAAAGAGAGGAAGAAAATGAAGAAAGGGGAAGAGAATGAGGAGCAAAATGACAAATCACTAACTAAATTTGACTGTACAGGAGCTGAAGAAAAAGAGCGTGGTCAAGAAACAAAACAACAAAATCAAAAATCAAATCTCTTGGAACATCAAGAGCAGAAGTTACCAGCTCAGAAATGTGAATTGGAGAAGGCAATACGAGAAAAAAGAAGAATAAGTGAAATCAGAGCATTCTGGGAAAGGGATAAAACTATCCCCAGTCACGGAAAGAAAGAAGTTAATATCAATAGTAATGCATCAGGTGGCAATGCATTGAAAGGTCTCAGAGACAAATTACAGCCAACTGCAGTGTGCCTTCCTGATGGACTGGATGATCAAAGCAAGAATACGCCAAGAAGTGCTGAACTAAGTTGTGCAAGCCAGCCTTCAAGAAACAAACATCAAAACTCTTTTGAGTTTGGACCAGACCATGCTGTTGAAAAGCCAGGAAGAGTACTTCGATCTGATAGTGAAGTTCATGAATATACAGAATTGCCAAAAGCCAGTAACTTGCAGCCAAGAGTTGGTGCCACTTCAGCTTCCCCGGAAAGCAAAGACAAAGACGGGAAAGGAACACTTAAAGGAAAAGTTGCTGCTTGTTCCCAACAGAAGCCCAGCTTCCAGGTTTTGTCTTTAAAAGAAAAACTGAATGACAAGTCTAAGAATCAAATTTCAGATCCTTCACAGTTCCAGAGTTTGAGAAACTTCTGGGATACTGGAGTTAAATTACAGAGTAGCATTGATAGGGGAGATGCTGCTTTGCCAAACAATACTAGTTCAATAACCTGTAGAAGAAAACCTAAGGAAGATAAAAAAGGCAGAGATAATGTGAGCAAGCAAGAGTTAATTCAACAACAAACCCAAACATGGGAGAGAGAAGAAAAACCAGATTCTGTGGTATGTGAACTGCTTCTAGGTTCACCTACCCTGAAAGGTCTCAGTGTGACACACATGAAAAATACAGACTCCATCCAGCTGGACAGAAAACCAGTTATTTCAAAACCTCAGGAAAAGATGGGTCTTTCAGAGCAAGAAGTTAAAGAATGTGTAGAAAAAGGTATTGTCTCATCAGAAGAACATCATGTTTCCTTGCAGTTGCTCCAATTGCCTGGTGATAAAGATGCTTTAAAGGAGACAGCAGTAGATGATTGGCCATGTTTACCTATAGAAAAAGTGGAGAACAAGACTACTCCATTAGATATCAATCTTCCTAAAGAGGAAGTTGCAGAGACTGTGGATAAGGTGATTCTGCCTAAAGCTGAGCTTGATGGATTTAAATTAGGCCTAAAGAAGTTAGAAAAGGAAGCCTCTGAGATGTCATCTAGCTTGAACCTAAAAGAAAGCATTTCAAAAGGGACAACTCTTCACTCAAATCAGTGTAAGATCTCTGAAAGAAGAGTAGAACAGATCCACGACATTTCTCTTGTTGATCAAAAAGAAATAAGCAAAAGCACGGGAAGAGTCAATGTGCCATCAACAGATGGCCATGAAAACAATAAAAGCCTCAGGAAACTGTTTAGGGAATTTGAACCTTTCTGTCTACAACATCAGGCAGCAGACAAGGAGGATACTCTTGGGGTTTCTCAGAGGCCTCAAGGTGGTTTGCAGAACCCGCTCAGAGAAACCTTTGCGTCTCAACCTTCTGAATATAGAATGGTGGGAATAAAAACATCCAATGACACAAATAACATATCACAAAATAATTATAGTGTAGAAACAACATGCCAAGAAGATACTGGTCAGACTGAAGAAGTCAATGAGACCATAGAAAAGTCTGTTGCGCCATCCAAGGTCAGTGG